AGATGCTTGTATCACAGAGGGCACTGAAACATAAACTAAGTCTAACATGAAATACTTTGGAGATGTTATTACTTCATAAAATGAGATACAATAATGTACGAGATGCTGCGAATTCAACACTGAAACATTAATACTGTTTTCGAACAAAGCAAATTATTACTGTTGCACCTAGCTGCAGTGTTAATCTGCTTATACCCTTATTATTGCTGTATCCTAAGTATTGCACTCATTTTCTCATTTCCTTGCACTGCGTAAATAGGGTGCAACGAAAAAGTTACAGCGAACTATAAGTAAGTAACGCTGACGCAAGAAATGGTAGCAGTCGAAAGAAATGAAATAAGTTGAAGACCTTGTATTAATACTAGTAATCTCCCTTATTCCAAAACAGTACTTGACTTATTTACCTATGCATTTTAACGTGTCTTCTAATTATCTTATTTTTGTCTTTGTAGACATTGCCTAAGGTGCCGTTGTACGGATCGTCTGGAAGCAGTCTTTAATTTCATCTACCTTCCGCGAAGTTTGACGTACGAAAAGTCGAAGTTTTACTGACTGGAAAACGCTACAATTGGTGTTACTCATGCGGCGATACGCCAGACTAGACACGTTATAGCAACGTATGCCCGTAATAACATTACCTACATAGTAAATACAATGCTAGTTACAAAAACTCGTCATTATCTTTTCATTGAGTATTTACAAGAAGAAAAAACGTTCACCTTACTTCTCATACTAAGTACTGGAGATTCCGCCTAGTACTCACTTTTACTTGCTCTCTAGAAAATGCTTTCTACTATATTCGCAAATGACTATTAGACTTCTGTCACATGAAACGGCAAAACATAAGGCGTATGCAGTTTAGAAGTTAGGGTATATTTGCATTTATTGACACAAAATTTATGTACATCTTCCATTATTATACAAGAAAGTTCTCAACGTACTTCAGAGTTGCTCGCAGTGCACTAATAGTATATTCATTACTATAATTATCCTGCATAACTGCGAAGCTTCTGTTCAATTGCTTGCGAAGTTGCAGTATCTCCATGCAGGGTTTCTTCACTGAACCTTCACACGGCACATGACTTGGTAGCAACGGATCCTGCCAAAACCATCTGCGACACAGGCGAATTACTTTGTCAACTAAAGATATTAATTTAAATATTAGTAAGAGTTTGATTTACCTGTAAACTGAGGAATTTGAGTGTGACATAGCAGCATATGCCGGCAAGGTATTCCTTGTGCCCTAAATATTCTGCAGGTACAAGTAGAATTGGTATAATCCACTTGGTGCAGGTATATGCCGTCATTTATGATAGCCATATCATCAGTATACAACTCTATGTTCATCCGACGATTACGGCCATAGTCCTTGGCAATTAACTTAGCGGCATAAGGAGTGAAGTTTCCTAATATCGGCATAACTGGTTCCGGTGCGTGGTACTTATGAATCCGACAACTTTCGACGATGACTTAAACACTACGACGCTTCTCTGTGCGTACACACCATTTATACGTCTTGTACATGCATACGTGTAGGGGATCTCTTCTGTGGAGATATCGTTTTAGGTGACTGTGAGAGCTTTCAACTCTATTGTTGGTACTATTAAACAGAAACAGAGTATTCGGCATATATGCCGCAGCCCACGTCTCCTTCTTAGGCACCCAGTAATGCCTGACATAATTCCACACCCTCCGATCAACCATCCTAATGACACTAAGGTAGTGATGAAATCTAAATGGTTAGAAATCAATGCATTTACCTTTCAGGTGTCGTAGCTTTAACAAGACGATATAAAAACCTGCGTACAAAAGGATTTCGAGTCTAAATGCATCAAGTATTAATTACATTCACCCCACCTTCCTGCTGAAAGCCCGGCATACATGAAATGCACAGATGACGATTTTCGCCTGAATTTGACTACTATGCGCGGCGGATATCTCACAGTTGGCCGAATCCATTATGGAAGTTTCTGTAATGGACGTATCCTGCATTATTCTTTGGAATTGTTCCAATATCCAAGCTACATCATATGACCTCTCTCGTCTCCTCCATGCCAAAAAAACAGGCCTGCCATGACCCATATTGTCTGTCACCACCAACTGAAACAGAGAATATCTGATTAAGATTTGTCAACCGTTTCACGTATAACCCAGCCATCCTTATTGGTATTGTATGTTGAGTCAATACACACCACCTCTGCATATTTCCGATATAACTGAACCTGTGATTCCAGGGCGAAGCAAATTCTGCTGGTCATCCCTGTGTTCGAATCCACGTATTCAACCACCTGACCGCTTTGCCTTATTATGCGCATAACATCTGATCTCAAAGGCATGGCTTCAAAAATAACTTTAAACTACTTCAATTACCTGGTCTCACATCCTGACGTAAATTATGCACATCTGTGCTCGTCAAAATTTTATTAAAATTCTCTTCAGCATATTCCAAAACATCACCAACCTCAGATGTAGTCTTCATAACTGGTGCAATATTCTCCTTTTCATCCCCGGACAGGCGTCTAAAATATGGATCACCTATCATAAGACTTTTTTCACATCTGTGATTGTGAACTGTTTCCGCGGAAGAAATGATAAACTCGTCCTCCTTGTAGCGTATACGAAAGCCAGATTGGCAACCGGTGTATTTTGTACTGCAGAAATAAATAATAGAATTCTTACGGTTTGACGCGCAAACATGAACCTCTAGTTTTTCGCCTCATGCCATGTGTACAACGAAAGACTACTAATTTGTACTTCAAATCCTGAGATTCATGGTCCCGTATGCACTTTTTGATTACATAATGTGTATGAGTTACCTAGGAATACTCTGTCATACATATATTACTGATTCCAGCTGACTTAGAGCATCTTCTACTTGAACCCAACTGGTATACCGGTGACTAAACATAATTCCGTCAAAAAGTTTTTTGATATCCACTGATATAGGAAGGGCAGGTTGGTCGCCATTGTCTCCAAGTGCCAATGCGTCCATTCGGTACCACTGTAAAACAAAACAAAAGCTTTTCAATAAAAAACTCATGAATAGCCAACAGAGTACAGTAAGCAACTTAAAAGAGACATTGACTTGGAAACTATAGCAGAAAAAAATATAAATTCCTTACCACAGTTACCGTTTTGGAAAGTTCCTGATTATAGCCATAAACATTTACTGAAACACTCATGAACGACAAATATGGACACAAATGATGAAACGAAGCTCTGCAGAAATCATTGAGACGCCACAAACAGGAGGATTTTAGGTGCACCCTATAATTTTCACATGAAACACATTCTCAAGCATCCTCCTGCACCATAACTGCCTTCAGGCCTAGAGGCAGCTTTTGACGACTATTCTTAACAAAATCAATACAGTTCAAGCCAAACAGAAACCAGAATCACGTCAAATGCAGCTACCTAGATCAAACGAAACAAATCAGCCAAACTGAAATCAAATAGACCGCGCAAATGTCCTCAAGGTAAAGCTGGAGGCGCCACTTCAAACAGGGGATATGCCTTATCAACGCCCCTTTCACAAATGGGGACCAAGCCAATGCTATTAGAACTACAGGGCTATTAGACTCACCAGCACCTTAGTCAAGATACTGGAAAGAATATTCAAGAGAGCTATCATGGTATATCTATAAAAAAACGAATTGTTGCCCAGAGAACCGAATGGCTCCCGAGTAAACCTCTCACAGCCGTCAAATCTGCTCACTGCAAGGGAAAGCTGAGTCAAGTCAAGGGACAATAGGAGGCCTGTCGATGTCGTCTTCAAAGACTTCAGCAAAGTTTTCCATAAAGCGCCTCACAAAAAACTATTCGCGAAGTCGGAAAGCCTTGAAATCAGTGGCGTTTTACTTAGCTTTATTAGGAGACAGGTGGTCAGGATTAACTTAAACTTGTCCCCCTGGACAACAGTGCATAGCAGAGTGCCACAAGGCATGGTACTAGGACTCTTTTATTTATTTGTATATCGGAGAGTTATCTGTGCTCAAGAGCTCCCCAGTGGTCCTAAGCGAAGATGACTTAAGAATCTGGAGAGAGCTGAAGGGCGATAGTGATACGCGTTGGTTGCAATGAGATCTCAACAAGTTCTTAGAGTGGTCCAAAGAATGGATGCTGCCGATCAATGTAGCGAAATGTGCAACCATATGTATTTGACACGCAAGCTTCAGTTCCTACGAACTAGAGAGAATAACGCTCCTGTCAATTCAAACCCATGTGGGCTATTCGCCGAGCCTCTATTAGAATCATCCGAGATAGGTTCTCCTCCTGTCGTGCATTTCTGGTGAGGTCAACACTGAAAAATTGTATCCAGGCAGCCAGTCCTTGTCTTGAACGGGACTCATATTCTGGAAATGGTTGAAAGGAAGAAAACACATGTGATTCCTGGCATGAGTGACGTGTTATGCGCGGAAAGACCAGACAATTTAAATCTCTTGCCTCCTTCATACCGTAGGCAGAGAGGATACCGGATTACAATGTTTGAAATTTTAAATAATGACTACGGATCTGATCTATTCTTTTTCTTATCACCAGGCTGAAGCACCTTATAGGACATAGAAGGAGAGTTCAAAAGTCAAGGAGAAATTATATTGTTGTACATTTTTGGTTCTTACACCGAGTCATAAACTCCTAGAACCGAATCCCAGAAGAAGTGGTGTCGGTGGCCTCAAGTGACTCATTCATGAAGTGTTTAGAGAAGCACAGGAATTTACTAGATAAGGACTAACATAGACCTGAAGCCTCCTATCCTCAATCAACGAAATACGAAAATCGGAAACCTGAATTGAGTACTGGTTAACTAACCAAGTAATCAACTCTTGAAATTGACTCCCAGAAGTAGTACTTGGTCCTTCAACTGACTAAACAGAGAATGGGATAGGCACTAGCAGTTAACGGGAAAGTAATAATATAAGCACAAAGCCTCCTATATTGAATCAAAAATATGAAAATGAGACCTGGGTTGAAGGACGTTCTGGTGTGGCGGGTTTTCTGACATTGACTGTACTGTAGGTATGAGACGGCGACGCATGGTTGTGTAGATGGATTTACTTAACTCAGATACAGATTGTGTAAATGTCGTTCGGAATTATTTGAGAATTCATGGCACGGTCTTAGATGCTTCTTCAGATTCTTGTAAAGTTGTGAGTTCCTATTGCTGTTGCCACTGCATTTCGTGCTGTTGTAATATGTATTGTTTGTTTTCGTCTCCTAAACAAACTTGGTATTTTATGGGCATTAAGAGATGTACCACACAAAACAGTCAATCAGCAGTATAGGCAGAATGAAGTAAAATATTTAGGGAATAATAGAATGAAAACAACAAGTAAGCATATATGTCAATAATATTGACATATGTCAGCTAGTGTAGGACTGCATTTTTGACCGACCTGGAACATACTAAAGTATAATCGCAATCCAGATAATTGCTCGAAACAATGGTAGCTCTGTATGCATCCACGCTAGCGTTAGTTGTCAGCGATGTGATATATTTGAATTTAGCCTTGGATAGCAGATAGAGGATGCTAGAAGACATTGAGGTAATGGCTATGCCGGAAGTTGGTGGTAGATGGAATTAGGTTGTTATATATGCAAAACTGCTGAAGACGGTCCCTATTATCTGACGTAAATGTCTATCGATCACCCTGACGATTCTCTTCTTGGCTGAGATGGTTGACATGCGCATTCAAATCCAAAGCTAACACTACAGTATCTGTCGAATATCCTTGTTTGAGGTTACTCATTTAATGGTAACGTTCACCCTGAATTGTGTCCCTGTTATTATCTGTCGGTGTGCAGGCACAGATAATTCAAATGCAATACTATTTCTAACCAGTTGCTCCTTACTCTAATATAACCTAGGCCATCTGTACGTAAATAATTAATAGGAGCCGATTCGATTAGTGCAACATTGGTACCATCTCTTAGGGAACACCGGTACCAGTTAGGCCGGATGATGGTTTGGCAGAATCTCTATATAAGCGCTATTTAAGCTGGTAGATGAGGAAGTAATTCTAAACACCTCACTAATATCTTTTATGCAAATCTTTGAGATGCAACCTATATCTATAGCAAGACTTTCCAGGTTTCTGGCCAAACCTTCGTTTTTCCGATTTGTATCAATGTGCAAACATTGTAGTCGACAATACGTGATGTTGGTATAAGTATAGCCACATTAGATATCGCAGCGAAAGAAACTTATTAACTACTCGAAACTGCGCAGATGGATTAAGATTACAAAAGATAACGAACACTTGATGAAAATAAATATACTGACAAACGCAAAGATGGTGAAAATAAAACAATGCAGTTTCTGTACAAGAATAAAAATAGTGATGTAATAATATTGAATTCAATGTCTTAATATGTGATCGATGAAGTAACAGGAGCACTAGGTTGCAAGGACGTAGAGACGAATTGATCTTTAGAATTAATTGTTCTGTATTTCATATGAAGGCCGAGATACTGCCTAAACGTCCAGACCGAAGTAGATTCCTGACCCCAGAAACCAATGCTTCAGGCTTTGATGTAGTCTGATTTACAAGGTAGCTTAGCAGCATCAGGAGTTGCTTCCTCTTGGCTGTGGGTATCCATAACAGGTTTATACACATTTCCGTTTTGGTCATGGGACCTATGTGCACCATAAGTGTGGGATTAATTTTCCAACTCCCTAGGTTGAACCCTCCATGCTCACCAATATTGTGATGAGTGCAGAATATTTATAGGAACATCCTCTATCTCATGTAGGTGATGAATAAGAATTACTTGGGAGAAACTGTAATTGCTTGGTCACATAAAAGCATTTAGAGAAGAAGAAAAGAATCTATCCACCCTTGAACGTGCCAGGTCATTTACCTTGGGCGTGTCTTATTGAAATACTAATAAGATTGCAATATGGAGATATAGTCACCAGCCATCATCTGTTAACCGATGATACTTGTGATTCAATAATGATCGATGACGTAATACGCTACTTAGTAATAATACAAGTTGAAAATAACGAACCAACAAAGAAATTTACGTGTTATTCCATTAGTATAACTTACTCTGGGTTTAGTTGACCTACAAAGCAGAGGATGGACAGAAACAGAAGGAGGTTAGGGTAGATAATAAGAAGTGTGGGAGGAAAAGAAAATAGATGAATGATGGAAACCTCTCATCACAAAATGTGTCCACCTCTTAAGTGTACTTTATTAATAATAGTAGGATCTAGATAACGTTTTTTCCAGAAAATATTTTCTGGTAAAGATACATTGGAATAAAAGCACGTATTCCTAATCTAAGGGCTGTGGTATTTTTTGTGATTTGTTACTGTAACCTGTAGAAATGAAGTATAACGTGTCAAGATCATTGAATCGTTTCTCTCTTTAACTTGATTGATTTCTTCTAGGCATTTCCAGCAACTTTTATTCATGACCAAACACGATATGGCATTATAGTTTCCCTTGTGCAAAATAGTTCTTCAAATCAAAGCGCGTAGGTTTTTTAACTTCTTGTTTTTATACATAATTGGTTTTATACACAGAGTATGTTAAATGTTGCCGGCTAGAATGGAGCGAATTGCAATCAACTCAACGCAAAATAAAGTGCGTTAGAGTTGTGTTTTACATAGATAGGTAGTCTCACTAACGTATCTTGCCGCTTAATTATGTACATGATTGTGACGCTGCACTATTCTAACGGACTGAGCATTCGACTTTTAAAGGGCAGGTCTTGAATCCGAACCCTGCCAGGATTACTGTAGTTTGGGTAGTCAGGTTTGTAAGTGTTCCTCATTCTCAAGCCTACTAGCATCTGTGGTTATTGAATAGTATTTCATTCCAAGTGGCTCCCGAGTTAGATTGACAGTTTAAGGCATTTTGTTAGGTCATTTAAATACAAGTCAGCTAGAATTTGGACATATTTATTTTAATTCATTTGGATAGCCTAGCAACATGCTTTGTACAGTTGGTTTTGAGTTGCATACCATTTTGTTGCAGGTGATATGGTACACTTGGGTAAATACGCTAAAAATTTGGGTCTTTTGAACAGTAAGAAAAAATCTAAGTGTTTGACATACAGATTCATCCCTGTCAAGTGTAAGACAATGTTACGAGGCTCGTCTCCATCGGCTTTTAGTTAATGAATATGGAGTGAAATAGCTGTACATGTTCACCACTTATTTACCAAGTTGAATCATGTCTAGTGGAGTGGTTCCTGGCGAGACCTCATTTTATTTATTCTCCTCATACATGTTTATCGATGGTAGATGTTGTTCGAAATCTACCCTTTGTGTTTGTGTGTCATATCTAAATATAGTGCCTTAAGCTGATGCATCTGTTTATAGAAGACTATGTCGAGTTTTTATATCAGACAAATCGCATAAATTTACATGTGTCACTCCGTTTCTATAACTCACTTGTCTGAATACTCGACTTCCAATCATTCGATCACTGGGTTCAAATCCCGACTCACCTATCGAGGTTCTGACAGCCCAATAATATAACTAGTCCTCTATACAACTGGCTTGGTTTATTGTCAACTGCATGGAAATGCAAGTGGATGTTAAGTAACATTTCACTCATTTCATTTATGTTCAGCTTGTTGTTGCATAATGCATTTCAATTAATAAATTGACAAGTTGTCAGCCTACGGTATGCATTATTTTTCACTTCACAATATATAATACTACTTTTACAAGACAGCCAACTATAAACTTTCAGTGGAAAATAAAGGAAATCATTCAAGTAAGATTTCGAATCTGTATGCAGTCTAGATCACTGGGACATGGCTTTTGTTATTTTAGAGTTAATGTCTTATCATTCTTCGCCTATTTCTTTTTTTTTCACTTGCATGTTATATCAGTTTTTTGTATACTTTCGTGTGCTAATGAAAATGTTAGGGTGGTTAATTATTTCTCGATTGGCAGCATCGTGAAAGTTGATTTTTTTTTTTCACGAATTTGCCTGAAACAGAAAAAGGATTAGTATTGCATGGTTACAGAGCCCAGACGGCTACTGTTTGAGGTCGGTCGCATGTGATCTGTTTGAAGTGATTTTTGGACAACAATTATCGCAATGTTTGCCTGATCCGTCAGTTCACAATGGGCTAGCAGGTAATTTGTGGAAACGTAGCTCATTGGCTTAAGCTATTGACTTTCAGGCAGTAGGCCTAGGTTTCGAATCCCGGCTCACCTACTTCAGCTTGTTTAACGGAATGGTAAGTATTATCACAACCGTGTGAGGGAGAAATGTCCTTTCTTGGTAGATGAGGTCTAACAGCAACAATAGTGACAATGACAGTGTGCATCATTGAAATTGCCATTCGGAGATATAGTGTCGCGTGCTATTTTTCTTTTGTACTGGTAAGCCTCTAGAACGGTCAACCAATGATAGGTTTCAACGATATACTAGGTGTGCTGGGTGTTTGTTGAACAAAAAAAAATTTAGTTGAATCTTTCGCCACTTGTTTCCGTTGCAGCTGTAGCTCTGACGCTCTAGAAGACGAATTGCATCTTCTGAAAGAAATCTTCATCCAATGAGATTTATTGGCAAGACCATCATACCACAAAAAAACTTTACATGAACCTTGATTTCAAGGGATATCTAACCTGCGGTGTTCTTAAGCGAGCAATTTCAATATCTGTATGAAGGACATTATTCGTAGCAACGCTAAGAGTAGTGTTTTCCTGTCGTACATTGGTTCACAGAAGCTCTAAAGACAAGATATCGCATCCGACCACTTCTATGCACATATATCAGTTCACTAGTTCTTTTTGAGCCAGGTATATTGGTCGTTCTGTCTAAAAGGGTTCAAGAACACCACCCTTCATGGTTGTAGAAAGGTAACAATGGTTCTATAAGGAGTGCAATCGTTGAACACCTTGTTGACATTAACCATTTTGTTTTAACAAACGCCCTCTTCAAAGTAATCTACTAAGTGAAGAACAGCATACCAAAGACAATACGCCTTCATCTCCATTGCATTGCTGAAGCTCTAGCCATTTAGATAGAGAAACTGGAGCTCTGCCCACAAAAGAGAGTTATTCAACTACTTCTACTATCATGATAACAACCTTATTGTTTTCTGCCAGTTTGACTTATTTGTATTTTAATTCCTAACTCGTCTGTGTCTATCGAACTCTTACGTAATATCACATTGCGTCCCCATTTCTGTTTGTATCCTGATTAGGACTCATTCATTAACTTATTTATCTCATTATGTACCTCCGACACCTTTATTCAAACTCCCCTAATGTATTGATTGATATAGAGAACTATGATTGTTAAAAGTTCATCACTTTTTTTATTATTCTCTTTTATGAGAAAAGAAATTTTATATAAATGCGATTTCGAATCTTTAGATATTTTCATTGTTAATATTTGAGTAAGACATATAAGCAAACATTATTGTTTTCAATTAGATCTTATTCAGGCTTTACCCTAATTCTCATAGCTAAAACTATGGGAAGTTAGAGAGAACAATCCTAGTCTTTGCACACAAAAGAAGTTTGTTCTACCTTTGTCTCTCCCATGGCCTAGGTAAACTGTAATTAGAAAAACTCCTGCCCTCTCTTATTTTCCATTTCCTTCGTACTTTTATGATATTTATTTAAACTCGGATTATCTATCCGCTTCACATTTAGTATTACATAACTTTTAAGATTTGACCTAATTTGTTTATTTATTGAATTGTCTACATATACACGCGTATTACTACCTTCCTTATTCTTACTGCCGCCTTCATAAACCTTATTATCATTATTTTTGTTGTCATTATAATCATCGTTATTACTGACGTTCGAAACGTTTAACAATTATATATTATTCACAAGATTTCATCATGAGCTGACAACAGTTAGAAAACCATCGGAAAACCTGGGAATACTGAACAGTTTGGGACTGTTCATCAACACGCACCCAGAGACAGGGTTCGAACCCAGAATATCTCGGTAATAAGGTGAGATCCAATGGTCCATGAAATCGCTTATTATTATCATTGTAATTTGATTCACAAGCTCATCGTTATTGGTTAAATTTTTATATATATATAAAGCTATGCAAATTAAAGTGAAGCCTGAAGAAGATTTAATTGATGAAAAGAATATTGTTCGCTTATACGTCTTGTTCTAGGAAATGCAATTTTACTGATAAAAATAAAATCAATTCGTCGAAAAAAACCACTTTACTGGACAGTACTTGTTTTTTCTTTTCTTTTGTTATTTTTGTATTTAAATTGTGACAAATTGTAAACTGATGTCAGTCATTTTTAGGTGTTATTTTTGTTTACTTCAATCTAGCAATCATGTCACATTAAAACATGCACTGCAAATATAAGTGTTTATTGTCATTTCTGTGTAACTCACTGTTTGTAATTATTTTGTTTTATTTGAAAAAAAAATTGTAGCCTCTTCATTTTTTCACGTGCCAAAAATTATGATGAAACTGAATTGACTGATTTGGTGATTGTGGATAAAGACTCATTTTGTGGAGAAATAGGTAGGCTCCTTCTATTATTATTATTATTATTATTATTATTATTATTCACTTGGATCTCATTTTAAATTTCTGAGTAACATTGCATAGTGAAACTTTGTATAGAGACTATCTGAAACACTCAAGCCCACCCGATAGGTTGATACCTTGACTCACTGGTCGTGTTTGCATATCTCAATGAGCCAGTGAACCAAACTGACCGAAACTAATATTCCTGAAGGTCCCTACCATGCGAAAAAGGTTGTATGGAAAGCAGTTAGATTAAAAGCATTTGTCATCATAGTGTCTGTGTTGTTTAAACTATGTTAGGGGTTCTGCGGGTGGAGTCGTGCTGCTTGGGAATAATAGGGGGGTATAACAGCAGCAGTAACGTGTTGTACTCAGGTGGTCAGCAAGTCAGCTATGCTAACTCTCCACCGTAGAGATGGAGGGGAGGAGCAAAGAAGATGTTGACCTCGAAAAATTGTACACTCCGACTTACGTTGCATCAGTCTGTAGATAGTGGTAAGACCTTAATACAGACGTAATTCCAAAGAGCACTTCAAACAGGCCTGTGTGTGTGTGTCTGACCTGTCTCAGTCATATGTTCCTTGGGCTCTACGATGATTCATGCAAAACTTATGCCCAAGAAGAAATCAACTTTCATGGTACAATTGCCCGGGAGACAGTAATCGCCCACACACTGTCATAAGCACACTTCAGTCAAAAGACACTCAGGTAACAGCCTTCGGTCGTTGGAATTGTAGCGAAACCTAATCAATAACGTTGCTACTAATGGTAATCAAACCAAAACATGGCTTCATCAGTTAATGAAATCCACAACAGTTAGTTTAAGCCACCTAGAGAGATGTAAGCTTCTTGGTTGGTGACTTCGGAATAGTAAAAACCAATGAATACTGGAGACAGTTAGTGATATGGTTCAAAATCATTCTCAATGGCTCAGATGTATTCAGTCTTTGTGACTTGCCAGTCATTTCCAATAAAATTCTATTGTTCTTCCATATCACTATTCTTTTTGCCTCACACTTCTGTTTATTATCTCTCTCTTCTCAATCTCTTTACTCTTTTCTCTTGCTTTGTGTGCTACATGGAGTGTGGCTAGTCGAACTGCAGCACATGTGTAAAGTTCTACGTTGAATCCAGTCAGTCAGTCTATCAATAACGGAATTATGTCTAGCTTAAGGGCTACTGATTTAAGTTGTACTATTGTAACAACAGAAGACAAGGGCCAGGCTACAGATCGTTTATTGAGAAAATCCGGAGGTATTTATAGATTTTTATGTACATTATTGTTAGTGGAGAATCAACGTCTTCTTATTGGTTGTTTACTTGCTAAACGTTATTCTGTTATCTCTTTGTGGCCGTTTCTCAGAAAATCAAGCCATATATCTGTGAATCATATTTCCGTACGTTAACTCGCTGGTGATTTTCTCAAGGTTACACTTTGTTATTGTTTTTCACTTGACCCTGATTCAGGACGTGAGCATTGACGTAAACCGTTGTCTACAATTTTGGCTTGCAGTCGGCTCTCACCACACTATGATCTTGATTTGCGTTTCATTTTTCAAACATTACCTCACTGAAATACTCACAGATTGTAGATGAGGTGAGACTACCTCAGCAAGAAGAATCATTATGAACTAGTTTTCCTTGTGTGTTTTATATATAAAACATATATGAAAGTGTTTTCTGTCAGTGTGGTCATAAAAGCTCTTAAATTCATGTTAGCATTATACAGAGGCGTTTGTGTGTACAACAAATTGCATGTGTGACTCATTGACTTCCCTTGCAACCAGTTGAGTCCCATGTTGAAATCCTTTTCCGCTTAATTTTTAACTCTGAGCGACTAGATAGCATCATTAACCTTCGGGAAATAAGTGTATCTCACAGTCCCTTACATAAAACTCTTTTCCAAGTAACGGGGTTCGAAATGATACTCTAATTTCTACAATACAATACACTTTTTACACTTGAGAACATAGTTCTTACTTTATAAGTTAAATTTCTTCCTTTCTTAGACTTTACTGAATGACTATATCTGTTTTGTTATTTTCTTAAGGCTCTCCTTGTCTTCATTGATTTTTAATAAATCATGTTGAATAGCCCTCATTCCTATATTGAAATGACAATCGTATAAATGTGTGCTTATGTGTAAGGCATCAGACGTGACTGAGGGTGGTCGTTCTACATCTGTTCTTCTTCTTCTTATTATTATTATGATTACTTAACGCCTGTTTATCGGATTTATAACGTTTAGTGTCCTGGTACCTCTTTGATTGAACACTAGGTAGTAAGTAACTAGTGTTCAATGGAAGTATCCAATAAGGTCCTACATGAGGTGACTCATGATCCCTAATAGTTCAGTGCTAACATCTCTGACTTGCAGCACTGGGTGATACGGAGTCGAATCTCAGAGGGCATATGAGTTGCTTTGAGGTTACAGATATGCCTTGCTGACGGGTACCAAGAAACACGAAGCCTGAGTTCAAGGCTTCTTGACGATTATCTGCAATCATCTAATAATAAAGACCATTGGATTGGGTCTCAGTGGCTTAATGGTATGCGAGCTCGCCTTGTAACCAGAAGGTCCTGGGTTCGAACCCCGGTGGATGCGTTCTGATGAAGAGTCCCAAACTAGGACGAAACAGCTGTCCAGTACTCCCAGGTTTTCCAACGGTTTTCTAACCAATGTCAGCTCATGATGAAATCCTGTAACCGATCAACCAAATCCCTACAAACCAATACTTGAGAGAAAAATCTAGTAACTCTACTTCTGAAGTATTTTGCGTATGTGGAGACATATATCCTTGGCTTCTAGTCTTGTTAGGAACACCGTCACTCATCTGGGATGTAAGTACTGTCACAACTGACGAATTTCAAACAGCACGAAACAATGCGTCTACTGGATTCCGTTGCTAGCCATCATCAGCCAACTAACAGAGTACCTATACACTTCATTATGCTTTGCATGTTGATATATGACTTAGTATTGTTCTTGTTATATATTATACAGGAGCTTCTTGAGTAAGCTGTTCATTTTTGTTTTGAATTCGTTTTTATTAGTATCATTTTGGTGTGATACCCTATACAACACACACAACTGCTTAATACAGATATGATAATTGAAGGTGAATAGTTAGTTTTGGTGTGACTCTAACAAGCTATTCTCTGTGTATACAACGATTGATTTCTCCATTTTTTGCTTTTCAAATGGGTTTCTAAAAAGTTCACATGAGGTCACGAAATCGATTATTATACTGTTTAGATTTCTATCCTGAAATGTATATGTGATCGAGAGTACTGTTTAGCTTCTACTGTTTACACAATAAATGTATATTATTTATCACACGAGTGAATGGTACTTTGACGAGAAACAAAAGAGTCAAAGTTTATGTTAATTTTCGCTATATCAAGGTGGATAGTGACAAGACAGAGCACATAACTGCTATGATTACTTATTCCTAATATATTTTAGTTGGTTAGAACTCCGGTGAGTCAGGCACTTGGTAAAATAGTATGTGACGATGACTGTTGGTTGACCAGGCCGAAATAAGTGTAGCGGGACTCGAGCCCGCTAACTGTATCTCAAATATTGAGTAGAGAGAGTAGCTGTGCAGACACCCTGTTTTCAGATAGCTATTTATTTCTCTCGAGTTTGATCACGGAGAACCATTGAAAATCAGACAGTATTATACTGGATAACTGTATCGTCCTAGTTAGAGACTCTTCATCGGTATGCACCGTGACCCCGCTAGCAATTGAACCCCATGACCATTAGTTCACGAGGCCAAGCTTGTTGACTGTTCGGCCATTTAGCCTGGAACTCAATGGCCCATGAATTCTAACTTCTACCAATTCGTGATTTTAGAGTGACAACCAGCCGGTGTTATCGGTGAGTGTATGTCCTAACACTCGACATGGCGGATCCTATTGGTCACGACTTCTCCCTGGAGATCCAGGCACCTTGCCCTGTGATCAGTTCGGTCTCTGTTGGGGTCGTGCTGGCGTACTGATGAAGAGTCCTAAACTAGGATGAAACAGCCGTCCGATACTTCCTGGTTTTCAGTGGTTTTCTAAGTGATATTAATCCGTGATCAAAACTGGAGGAAATCAAATCCCTTAAAAAACTAACTCTTGGAAATATTTATTTCTTAATAGTGTTACGCATGCTCATACACAAGAACCACTGACTTCAACTCACAATGACCACAATTGGGATAATACCGTTAGCAGTTATTCTCGTTTAAGTGAATCTGTGAAAGATTTTTACTGTTCTTTGATGAATTCAACTCTGATTCCAGCTAGTCTGTGTATATAATATACACTTCACTGAGTATACATTGAACAAAATATATCCACGTTTCTGATTGAACAATTTGTGGGCGACCTTCAAAAGAGATTAAGAAAGGTTATCCCCTTTTTACCTATTTACAAAAGTACAACAAACTATTAGCCAAATGACGACCCAGTGGCAATTCAGTTGTTAAGGCTAATTAAAGGGAATCTTGGGGAAAATTAAATGGTTGACTAAACTGTAGTCGTTAAAAGCGATTCAAGGTGACTGACAGTGCTGACACTGAGCGGGTATCTCAGATCCTAGAACCACTGGTTTTGCTCCAAAAAAAAAAATTCAGTATAATTATGTTGGCTTCCGACCTGAATGATGGTGCATTTATCAAGTCTTTATGCTTTGACAGGCTCTGAAACAGAGACATACTTACTAGCGTCCAACGCTCATCCTATTTCTTAACATAGAGATGGCATTTAATTCTATTGACTGACTTTGATTTCTCAGGGTGATTGATTCGATATCAGTGGAAAACATCGCTGACCAAGAGTAGGCAGTTGATGTCGTCCTTTCAGGCGAAGGTGCTGACAAAACACAGTCTTTTGGACAAGTTGAATAGAAATTTAAGTTTGTCTGACATCATATGGATCCTTTTCAAATGTAAAGTCATACAATAGAAATAATCTTTATTGTTTCATTCCTGGTGGACTGGTTGTTCACGAAAGACATTTGCCAACCTCCGTCATCTTTAGTGTCCGGCTACTTATCAAAAGGCGTGTTGACTCAATTCCACATTATAACTGTAAGGTATATCCATTGAAAGGTGGAAGGTATGAACTGATAAGAGATTTCGTTTGCAGGATTCATTATTTCATTGCTTGTATTAAGTGGAGCAGCATGTTCACTGATGGTGAGTTTACATGTAAGGTGGTCAGTAAGAAGACCAAGCCCTTTGGAGGTTGTGAAGCTTTATCGATTACGACGAGTAGGGCTTGTGTTACATGTGACAACTTCAGTTTTATGGTTCTTGTTCTTCATTTCCACTTGTGGTGTTTATCCAGTACCTTGCAATGGTTGTTAGGTTAGATAAGTAGATTGAAGTAAGTAGACTAGGGTTAATTAGATTATCTGAACACAAATATTAAGCGAATTCTAGGCTACTAGACTCTAATGAATTAAGAAATCTAGAAGAAAAGCCCAACTATGGCACTACACACAGCTACACACATCCATGTAGTAGGATAGGACAAGGTGAGTCTTGAAATGATATGATTTATTACATCTGGAAAATTCTGATACCCACATGACAAATGGGAAAGAAGATGAAGAACTATAAAAAATGAGTTTCAGTTTCGTGTAACTACACTTGCTATGACTATGAGCAATAAAGTATGTTTGAGTCATCCAGCAGATAATGCTGTCTCGTGGTGAGATATATCCAGCAAATGGATTAGTATGAAATGGAGTATTTCTTACAATTCGTTTACCCTCTCAGAACCATATTTTTACAAGAACTGACTGGTAGCTCCCAAACATATATATATATATATATGCATAAATTATTGACCGCTGTCTTTAATTTAGTTGTTTCGCTGTACACAGATTGCCGCCGTAATCCAATTTACTAAATATATCTGTCATTTTTTATATCATCGTTTGCCTACATATAAGCATTAGTCAATAAAGTATTTCCCTATCAGCATGGTGTACTCAGTTACATTTTTAACGGTTGCACACATACACTCAACTAATTATTCTCTCTCTCTCCTAAACGTTCATTTATACTGTGCCTGAACATAGGGAACTCATCTTGGTCAGTAAAACTATAAATAGTAAGTGAGCAGTTTCCTTTTATCCCCATAGGTTGATACATGAAATCGATTCATGTATTGGGTTAGTGTTATGAGTGGAAGTGGATATCTGTGACACAATATTTGATTGAGAGACTCAGAAGAGAACTTAGCACAGAAGTGAAGTAGTTCAAGTTGTCCCATTCCATATTGTACACAAAGATATCGTAGGGGCGAACGCCTTCATTTCACTTATTTCCTTTTATTCAGTACTTTATAACGCGTGATACTAGAGTAACAATAATCATACTAATGGTTTAATAAAGGTTATTATTATATGTTGAGGTAGCTCATTGGTGTAATCACTTGATTTGCAGGCATTTGGTCCCGGGTTTGAGTCCCGCTCCACTTATTTGGCCTGGGCAACTAACAGTCGTCGTCACATGCTATTTTGCCAAGTGCCTGACTTACCGGAGTTCTAATCAACTAAAATATATTAGGAATAAGTAATCATAACAGTTATGTGCTCTGTCTTGTCACTATCCACCTTGAAGTTCCTGTGCTAAGCTCTACTCTTTGATGTTGTACAATTCTGTGCCAAAAAGTGTTATACATACTTTCAGGCTTTGGATTGCAGGAGTTTGATTAATTTCAAATTAGATCACTAACTGAAGTCAGTTAGGAACCATCGAAAACGAGATAGTACTGGACAAGTGTTTCATCCTACTTTGGAAATCTTTAGGTCTCTGCACACTCAGGATCCCTCTACGGATCTAACTGTGGACGTTCGAATCCCTTCAGCATAATACTTTGAAACCAATCTACTACTCATCTGTGACGGACTATGGGGTGGAGTTGTTGGAATTCTAGTGGGAATTTGTTGGGTCTACCAAGTCTGATGTGAGGACAAATATTCTCTGATGACATTGGATGGCGGTGACGCTGCATACATATATATATTTATCGCCGGAATTTTTAATTCAGGGGCCGTTATTGGATTCCATCCCAGTAGCTGGAATGGTCATCAGGCTGGCATTATAACCTAAGAGTCTCACGTGTTACATGTGGTCGGCTCATGAGTGCGCACTATTGTGAGGAGTCATCAACTAGGATGAAACGGCTGTCCAGTAGTACTCCATAGCTTTCAATGGTTTTCTGACTGGTGTCGGTTCTTGATCTAACTTAACATTATTCATAAATTTTTCAAGCTTCATCACCTAAGAAAAGTCAGATGTGTCCGAAAAGTTGAAATATTTAAGAAATTTTTGTCATAATCGTGTCAACCATTTACAATTTGAAAATATCAAGGCATACATAAATGTTTATTTTTTGTTTTTTCCTTCACCTTCCCCAGTGGAACATAGGGCTTCAAGCTAGAGGCTTGAAGTTTCTGTAGCAGTATTTATTTTACAGGATGCGGTTACCAGCCTCATGCCCAATCTTTCCTCTTCACCAGTATTATTTCTGGCTTAGCGAGGTAAAGGAGTGCGTCGGCCGGGGATCGAACTCCGGACCATGTGCATGGTCGGCGAGCGTCCTAACCGATATGCCACCGACGCCTTATACATAAATAGTCAAGTAATAAATAAAGTCGTGGTAAAATTAGGAGGAATTCATTTTCATCTTGCTTGCTCTTTGCCAGTTTATAAAGCAATGCAAAATTCTGTTCATGTCACTTCGTGAAATATACAATCATAAACCAGGATACTGAATGGTTTCGACATAGAACTTTGCATAAATATGCAGGAGTTCGAGTTGTCACACTCCATATAGCATCGAAAACAAGACAAAAGAGAAAAAAGAGATTCGGAAGGATGATAACATACAAAAGTGTGAGGCAAAAAGAAGAGTTTTATTAGAAATAACTGGCAAGTCATAAAGAGTGAATGCGTTTGCGCCAGCCATTGACAACGATTTTGAGCCATATCACTAATTGTCTCCAGTCTTCATTGGTTTTTACTACTCCAAAAACCCCAACCAGGAACTGTTGTGGATTTCATTGACTGATGGAACTATGTTTTGGTTTGACCCGCACTAGCTGTTTTCCAACGTGAACCTGTGTCAGATTACATTGATCGTCGAGGAAGGCGATCGATGGCTAGACATGCAGGCGTAAGAAACGTCCTAACCATCTCAATCGATGTAACTTCACAGCCTCGTTGACTGATTTTCCCTCCTTACCTAGAACTCGACGTTTAACCTGAATATTATTCACTCTGTTATATCAACCAACGCTGGAGATGGAACACAGACACCTATGATCAAAGACATGTAGCCTGTTCATGTCTCCCACTTTCAATCAACGGCCATGTCTCACGGACATAAGTGACGACAAAGCGAGCTGCTGAGTAGTACATGCGTCCTTTGGTCGACAGCCAGCTGGATATCACATCTTCGCCAGAGATGATAATAATACCAGCGTTATTTTTTAGTGTTTATATAATGTACACCATTTTCAGTGGAGTTTATTCCATGATATTTTCTCTTCCTTCGGGATCTTCAAATAAAATATTCATTGACAGGTAGATATCGTGTGACAGAGTGATGTTTGACTCTGGAGTACCTATCAATCCATTATGATATCTCTTCACTGTCTTCTCATGTACTGGGATATGTTGCCATCTGGGATTATATATTTTTTCTAATATTTAGTATAAATTCACGAATCAGCAGGTTGTAAATATTTTAAATACTCGCCAGAGTAAACCATATCATCAGGAGGTCATATATATTATAATGGATTAGAACAAACAGAACAAAAGAAAATATATGAAGTATAATGATGTGATGTCGATTTTCGGTAGCCCAAATTTTAAGCAAGCCGTCGTTTCCAATTTTTTTGGAGATGATATAAGCTGACAAATGCCACATGAGCCATTAGACCGGTGTACACGAAAGACACAACATTCAACAAAAGCTAATCTCATGCTCTTGTGGCTAAATTATTATTATTATTTTTATTCCTCTGCGTGTTGAGTGGAGCACAGAGCTTCCTACTTGAGCTCTGAAGTTCCAGTGGCGGTAGTGTTATTTTTCTACAGAGTGAGGTTAGGTTAGGTTCATGCCCAATCTTGCCTCTTTATAAGGCTTACTACCGGCTGAGCAAGGTATACAAGTGTTTGTTTGCTGGGAATCGAATCGGGACCACTTGTTGTATGGTTAATGAGCATTCTATCCTTGAACTACCGATGCACTAAACTAAATTATATATTTATTACTAATTTCATTGTTAATTTGTTCATTTATCATTTGAAATAAATATTTCATCTTCCGCAGATTCTCGTGTTCACCTTCCAGTCTGCGGAAAACGCATAATCGATGTTGTTGTCCATACAACAGAGAAGTCGGCGAATCAACAGGTTAAACTTTATATTGTATCCAATAATGTGAATAATAAAAATAAGAATACATCAGGGGAGTCTAAAGGAAACACAAGTGATATCGATTCAGATGTTGATGGAGATGATGATGATAATGATAAAAGTTGTGCAAAGAATACCGTATTTTTGAAAAGTCTTAACGATGTCTCTGGGGTAAAAACAATTGAAAAATATCGATTTCACCTATCTGTAAGTGTGTTTTTCTTCTTTTTATTCCTATGTTTTGTTATGTATTCGAGTGTGTTGTACGAGTTTGTGACTAGGCGCGTTCTATGTGCTATTAGATCTGATTGATTGATATTCAGGTAAAGTCTTAAATGTGGCACTAATAGTATTCAGGTTGCATCAGCTCTAAAGGACTGATTGATGACGGAATCTCAGCACGTATACAAAAGGCCTGTTTGACATTCGCCAACTTATATCATCTCTGGCGTAGGCGTGATATCCGATTAAGGATGAAAGGATTTGAATACTAGGCATCATTTCTCTCTGTCCTCCTACCTGGCTGTGAGTGATGGTCACTGAAAGTGGAAAATGTGAAAAGACTGGCTGCCTGTGACCACATATGGTTATGTTAGGTGGTATAAGAAGGCGAGGCGTAGAATCTTAAGTAAAGAGAGTAGGTCAATCGATGAGGTTGTGAAACTACACCGATGAAGATGGCTGAGACACGTGCTATATCACTCAATGTCAGAGGTAGTTAAATCAAAACCTGGCATCAGTCCATGCAGTTTTTGACTGTTACTTTGAGCCACGTAGGCAGTTATCGACTACCTAGTTGAGGTCCTTGGGATGCTAACAAGCACTGACTGGGAGGCACAGGTGCATTCACTCTTTGTAGTGTCCCACATCTTTTAAACCCTCATGTCTTCTTTCGCACATGTCTACCTACTATAGTTGTTTTGAATCCTTTTTCTCTGCTATTGTTTGCTACATGGAGTGTGGCAACTTGATGAAATGATGCAATTCTGTGTCAAAACTCAGTGAACCAGACAAGTCAGCGATAAATATCATGGGATCAAAACTTTCACTTACTGTGACATTTGTGTAAGTAAACTGAATATCTCCAAATGATGCAAAGAATGTAGTCTAGGTGAATGTTTTTAATTTTACTGAATGGAGTCTAGTGGGTGAAGTTGTCTACTGTGAGACCTGATGTGCTCAGTTGTTTTTTCCTCTATTAATCTTGAACTATGACAAAAATGGCTGTCCAGTAAATAGTTATCGACCTTCCGGGTGGCTCTGAACAATCACTGATTCTCCTTCTATATTGATTATTTAGTGGCAGTATCATTGATTTGTGTTGCAAGCCATTTTGTTTTCTGAATTCGTTGATCCTGTAGCTCAGAGATCCTGTAACTGATAAACAGATGAATTCGTACAAGGGAATTTGGTTGGATCTTAAACTACATGTTTAAGCTGTTATAATATTAACACTAATAATAACAATAATAATTCCCTTAGGTTCCGAGTGGAACATAGATTCTTCACCTTGAGTTGCAATCTACGAATATTTGGCATGTGATTCGCTCCCGCCAAATGTAAAATGATGTTCCAGGACTGGACTACTAGCTTAGAAATAGGTAGTGAGGTGGTAGAGCACGTTGACTGTTTCATTTATTTGGGAAGTTGCATCAGCCCCAACGGGTTGATCTCTGACGAAATCTCAACACGGATACAGAAAGATCGTTTCGCATATGCCAGTTTACGCCGTCTCTCGCGTAGACATGATATTCGGCTGGCTGTCGACCAAAGGACGTATGTACTACTTAGCAGTTCTCTTTGTCCTTCTTCATGGCTGTGAGACCTGGTCATTGAGAGTGGAAGACATGAAAAGGCCAGCTAGCTGTCTTTGATCATAGGTACCTGTGTTCTATCTCCCGTGTGAAGTGGCATAATAGGGTGAGCAATACTGAGGTTAGGCGTCGAGTGCTAGGTGGGTGGGAGGGGAAATCAATCGATGAGGCTGTGAAGCTACATCGATTGAGAGGGTTAGGACATGTGTTACGCATGCATGTCTAGCCATCTATCGCCTTCCTCGACGACCAATGTTAGCTGACATAGGGTGAGGTTGGGAAAGAGCCAGTGGTGGTTTAACGAGAAGATGGCTTCATCAGTCAATGAAATCCACAACAGTTAGTGTAAGCCGTCCACGTGGAGAGATGTATACTTCCTGGTTGGGGTCCTCTGGACTGTAAGCACCATTGGCTGGAGACAATTAGTAATATGGCTCAAAATCATTCTCAATAGCGCAGATGCATCCACTCTTTGTGACTTGTCAGTCATATCCAATAAAATTCCATTGTTCTTCCATATTACTATTCTTTCTGCCTCATATATCTGTTTACTGTGTCTATTTTGCGTTTCTTTTTACTTCCTTCTCTGGCTTTGTGTACTGAGTGAAGTTTGGCGACTCGAACTGCTACACATCGTTGCAAAGGTCTATGTCGAAAACAGACAGGCAGAGTGGAACAGAGACCTACAGCAGCTCATTTCCACTTCACTGTGTTCTCTGCATTCTTTTTAGCTGACCCCACGGTTGCCAGTAAGATTTCATTTCATTTTTTCCCACGATCTCCTACATGTTACTCCTACTTGCTCAACTCGTCGTTTCTTATTCAGGTTCCACTCACGGGCCTAGTATGTGATATCGCTTAGCAGCGTATGCCTGATTCATATCCATTTTCTCCTGTATATTTATTAGACGACAGGTTGTTGGTCCGTTGCCATAGAGTTCCTTGTTGCTCACCCTTTCCGTTCATCTTATCTTCAGTATCCAGACAGAAAACGCAGCAGGTGGAAATTCTGTTCGTAATGCGCCAAGTCTCTGGACCACATCGAATAACTGACTTCACATTATTGTTGAAAATCTGAATCTGTCTGTCTTGGTTTTGCAGTCCTTGCCGCCTATGGCATCTTTCTCATTGCCATGCATCTGTAGGTAGTCGATTACAACTGACTGTTTAAGGGATTGGTTGCTTCGCGGGTAAAAACTTCTTTTCGCAGTACACTGTTCATAGTTTGATGTATATATTTTAAATTTTGTTTGGTATTCATTTTGTTTATTGTACTGTTATTTACTGTGTAGTTTTTATATAGAACTGTATATATAAACTCACTATTCATATTTCAATTTTAGCCTGTCAGTTTTACATTAGAATTTGATCAGATTAAAGATGCATTAGAATTTCGTAAACAGCTTCTCAACTTATCTTCAATGAAATTATCTGAACTTGAGGACATGTCTACAATGTATGAAGTTGGTCAAGAAGCTTTAACCACTCTCAATACTTCTTCTTCTACATCTTCTTGTATTACTACTTCCACGTCGGAAGAATTATTCTGGTTAAAGAAATATTGGTATGTTTATTGATAGTTATTTATAATTTAAATAATATGAGAAGTAATAATGCCTACTAATTGCGTGGTGTTTGGTGTCACTATCTGATGTCTAGATCACTAGTAAAGGTACGGCGAAGTTAAACTTTGAGCATGGTTAAGTAATAACGGACAAGTGACTCTGAACGCACCAATCACATGAAAAGGGCTATTTTTAGGCATAAATTAGACATATTAAAAATAATGGATGAAAAAAGGCATGAAAATGTTCCTCAGGATGCCTTTCTCTGACTTTTGACAAAAACGCCACCCAGTTTTCCATTGGAGCATTGATAGAGAAGTCAAACCACATTATATATATATATGTCTGAATGGCTGTAAATAATGTTCTGTTGAGATCCGTTAATGGCTCTAATCCTACTGTTCATTCTTCCCCAAAATCCTTCAGGAGATTTGGTGTGGGTGCCTGTAATAGGATCTACAAATTTGTTAGAATGGTTGACTCTATGGTGAGTATGTCCAAGGGATCACAATGAGTTATATCTTTTCCATTCATCTGTGTGTATTATAGATCCTGGTTTCATCAATCTAGGGATAATTGGTCTTAAACTAGTAGACTTTCTGTCTGGTATTCTTTCGACTAATCCTTTCCGTTAAGTAGGATCGTACAGTGAAATCACCCAAATGTTACTTGCTTTTTTATGACCCCGGTTGTATTTCCTCTTTATTGGAATTGTTTTATCTTTATGTACAACATCGCCCAGTAAAGAAGTGGCTCTCCCCATCTTCCAAGATACAATATCTGTGCAGTGCTGGTACCGTTGAATGGTTGAGACGAGACAGATGTAGCTCTCACAGAGTGTTTTAAAATCCAGTAATTACAAATATACAAAGTCTGGGTTATTGACAAATGCTGTCTGACGAAAAATATTCCTACGAAATAGTATAATCATATCAGCTTACCTTCCCTCACGTTAACTCATCGCAAACAAACTGTACACCAGTGAAAGTGTCTATCAACAGACCTACTGAAGCTTTTTGTACTCATAACACCTCCACAGGGACAAATTATTCCCTTTCTAATCAATTCCACATCTAAACAGTACTGGGACACACTTCGTCTGCACCAAACTACAGATGTAAGCACGTTTTCCTGCAAGCATTTACCTCAAATCAAGCGGAATAAGACTTTGGAGTCACGTGAGAAATCTCATTGGTCCATTCACCGTCATTGGTGCGGTCGCACTCCCATGGTACTTACTAGTGTCTGAAGTTTAACAACTTAAAAAAATATTCGGTTATGAAGTTAAAATACCTTCGACCAAGTTGTTCAGCATCAAAGTATTCGCAGTATAGTTTACTCTTATATGTAAGCTAATGTTATCGTGTCGGGATTTACTGAGTGCATATATCATTGCTTTTCCATTGTTGAGATACAGGTTACTGGTTTATGCATTCGACTTTCAGGCGGTGGGCTATTGAATTGAATACCCTCCACCCATACCCACCTGCATCAGCCTGGTCAACTGGGTGTAGTATTATCCATAGCCTGTTTCGAATAACGGCCATATAACGACTTTCAGTTAAGATTGCTAAAAAGACTACTGTGTTAACTCACTATGATAAAACACCACTTTATTGTGTCTTGCCTACCTGCCTTCTGCAATAATCATTTTCGAGATGATTGCTAATATATTTATTTGCTTATAGCAACATTACGTAATAATGTACAAAGAAGGCATTCGGAAATGATTTGAAATCAAATGAGTGAGTTAAGATGAGTGGGTCAAAAAGAAAAATAATAGTAGGAATACATAATACATAATGATCCAATAAGTTCATTGATAGTTACTGGGTGGGAGATTAATGAGATTAATCACAACTTTATTTTTGTACACAGGTGCCTATTTTAAGTTACTTTATAGCAATAGACTCAGCAAATTAAGGTAAGGTTGCATTTCTTTGCTTGTTGATAATGGTGAATGCAGTCAGGGTTCTAGGTTCTATTAAATGTTAAGCATTTTGGCTGGTAACGTGCATTGGTAATTGAATGGTGAAATTGTTGTCAACCCCTCCCTCCTTGGTCCAGGGTTCGATCCTCGGTAGTAAAGTGGGTGAAGAAAAAAGGTTGGTTGTGAGACTAGCAAACTCCACCCTGTAAAAATGAAACCACTGCTGCCGAGACTTTAAGCTCTAGCTTTATAGGCCCTGTGTTCTACACGAAACGTAAAGGAATCAAATAAAAGTAATAAATAAATTTGGGCTAGTAAGGAAATTTTTTTTATTCCTTCACGTTCCCCAGTGGAACATAGGGCATCAAGCTAGAAGCTTGAAGTTTCTATAGCAGTGTTTATTTTTACAGGATGAGGTTGCTAGCCTCATGCCCAACCTTTCCTCCTCACCAGCTTTTAGTTCTGGCTTAGTGAGGTAAAGGAGTGCGTCGGCCGAGGATCGAACTCCGGACCATATGCATGGTCGGCAAGCATCCTAACTGCTGTGCCACCGACGCACCAGTAAGGAAATGGAGATCGTCAAAGTTTATGAGTGAGACTCTTCGTCGTTTTGTGAAGCTACTGCTATCTTCATACTGAATTTCTACTTGGCAGAAGGAAGCATACATTCTCGTATGCTCTCTTGTCATATTCATCGTATGTCTATTTTTAGGCTATCTAGAGCTAAAGCGAAGTGCGCATTTTATACTACAAGTATTGTTTTGATAGATATACACATCTGTTTATATGTTTACTGTGTGTGTGTGTGTCTATTTCATTCTGTACATAATCTCATGATCACTCAGTGTGCTTACCATTTCTAATTTTGAAACAGAAATGAACAGAAGAAATAGATTAGTGTGGTTATGTATTAAGTATCGTCAATGTATTAGTCATCAATGTAGAGTTACTAAAAATAGAATCATTTGTGGTAATGTTTTTACATACATCTGCATGATTGTTAATCCTCGTCTACTAACCTGTTTTTGATTCGCCAACATTATCCAGGTGATTCAATGATTGATCGACTGCCTTAGAACGGACATAATGTAAACTATACTATATATATATATATATATATATATATATATATATATATATAATTATTTGATTAGTTGGATGATTTCATCATGAGCTGACATTGGTTAGAGAACCATTGGAAAACCGGATGGGAGTACTGGGCAGCTATTTCGTCCTAGTTTAGGACTCTTCGGCAGTACGCAATCACCGGGGTTTTAATCTAGGACCTTCTGGTTACAAGGCGAGCTGGTATACCATTAAGCCACTGGGACCCGATCCAATGGCCCATGAATTCCAGCTTCTGCAAATTCACGACATAGTGCGACCACTAGCCAATGTCTTCAGCGAGTATTTATCCTCACACCTGAACTGCTGTACCCTACTGGTCACAACTTCTCACTCGAACCTACCTGAATAGGGCCGGCCACTATTGAGCATCTCATTGATATTCAGCTATCGGTTTGTAGGGATTTGATTGATTAGTTGGATGATTTCATCATGAGCTGACATCGGTTAGAGAATCATTGGAAAACCGATCAATCAAATCCCTACAAACCAATACCTGAATACAAAGGAGTTAATAGAATTAGCTAAAATTGTAAAAGATAAAAAAGTCGAAAGTTAGTTACATGAGGAGGGGAAAAATCATTCTTGAAGAAAGACAAAATAACTTAATACATATTATGTGTTTGAAAACGATTTTCCCCCTCCCCTTGTAACTATCTTTCGCTTTTTTTAATCTTCTACAATTCTAGCTAATTCCACTAATTCTACTGAGTCATCCTATTCTTCTCAGTCATTATCTCACGAATTTCTTGATTATGTAATAACTGGTTACTAACTCCAATGCATTAACTTTATGTGAATTCCGTAATAAATTTGTCCCCCCTCTTTCAGAACTTGCATATCTTGTTACTAACATCAATTAGTTGATTGTTTTGATGACATTTAACCTCTTAATTTCACCCCTCTTTCCCCTACCACTTTTTTCTATTCCTTCACGGTCCCAGTGGAAGATAGGGCTTCAAGTTTCTATAGCAGTGTTTATTTTTACCGGATGGGGTTGCTAGCCTCATACCCAACCTTTCCTCTTTACTAGCTTTATTTCTGGCTTAGTGAGGTAAAGAAGTGCGTCGGTGGCCGGGGATCGAACTCCGGACAATATACATGGTCGGCGGGCGTCCTAACCGCTGTGCCACCGACGCACTTTCCTACAACTGATTAATTAGAATAACCACTTGATTGGTAAAAAGGTTTTGATGTCAAAAAATCTATATATTAGTGTAAAGGCGATGATGTTGGGTAACTAATTGAAAAGGAGTATATTTCTTCTTAGCTCAATCTGTTGTGTGTTT